TTAGTGAGGAAATTCGAGTAGTTTTGACCCAGAAAGCGAAATTTGAATATCAAACACTTAGGTGCAAGATTATGCCAAAATTCCATGTTTTCCGTTCCATTTTTGCTCATTTCTCGGAGGCAAAATGAACAAGAACGCTCATTTGTACATCATTCTAGACAGAAATAAATGGCATGTTTAGAAAGTGAACCATGCATGGGGAAATGTTGGCAGTTTTCTCAAAAATCGGCTTGAATTCAAGAAGTTTTAGATTTGTTGTATGAAGAGAATCGCACAAATTAGCCCTGCTGAGCCATGAAATTGCCTAAGAACCCCATAAAACAATTAATTACAAGAAAGACGTTGGTAACGATTAAGACCCCAATAAACCAATACAGTTTATGCGTTGTAAAATTGAATATTAAAAGAACAAGACAAGATACAGTAACATAAAACGAAAGCTTAGGCCTCTTCGTAGGCAGGTAGCAGAAAATCGATCATAAATTTCGTTTAGTTTCAAACTGTTAATTCATTTCCATTTCGTATTAGCATAAATGCATATTAAACGTTGCATATCCTTTAGTTTATGCATCGGTACGATAAAAACCCGTTAAATAAATTATCATTGGGACTTTGTTTTTACGGGCTGGTCGAAATGCACAATGCATTATTTATCACCATTTGCCCGTTGATTAGTTGTCGAGGAACAAGGGCGGACGTTGACGACTCGGTTCGAATAAATTAACTTTTCGCACTTTTTTCAGTTCCGTTCTTCTGGTTCTTCATCAAGTTGAACGCGTAGGACGATCTTCACCAATCTTCGGCTAGTTCTTCAGCGGTTAATGCCAGTTAGGTCTGCACTTGACCAGTTTTTTCGCTGCACCGATACGAGTGCGATTAGGGAAATAATAATGCGATCTCTAGTCGAGTTCATCCAATTAGTTTGCACTGTTCTTGTGCGCAAACTAAACAAAATTTCGCAATATTTCACCAATGAAAAGACGATTTTTTTGGAAACTTCAATCCTCCTTTTAGGACAGGAAAAATTACGAACCGTCCAAGTTTGATGTTTATATGAAAAATGCGTGTTTCAGCCCTAAATCTGGCCGCTTTATTCCATTCCAACACATGGTACCATTAGAAAATATTGTGCTAATCACTAGCAGAAGCTGCTGCAATCTCAAAATAATCGTATTTTGTATAAATATAGTGATTCTAGCATGTTTTTCAATAAGTTGGATTAATTCCCCGCGTCCGTGAGCTGAAAATGCTGTCAAAGTTAAGACACTTTGTGACACACAAGTGTTTTGCAACTGTCAAGTATAACCCCGATCAAAAAAACCACATCAATAAGACGTCCATAAGACTTTTGACGTTAACAGTTGACGTCATTTGACTTGTGACATTGTGACGTCGGTATAACGGCACCTTAAAGTCAGTTAATTGACGTCAAATTGACGACAGTCTGCTACCTGGAAAATAACCTGCAAATGCACATCGGGATTTTTTCAAGCCGAAGCTAAATAGAGATAAATTTTCATAAAGTTGCTAATCAAATAACCTTCAGTCTGTCGGCCAGTTAATGAATAAGCCGTTTGGCTGGGATTAAACGATTTGAACGGTAAACGGCTAACCTTTGGCACATTATTTAATCGAAACATTGAGGTGTTAACGTGACCTGTGAACAGGGCCCGGATGGGAAAATCCAAATCGAAGAGTCATGAAGCCATTGGACCCTTATCTTGCTAAAATCGCAAGATGGAACAGCGATTAAAAATCGAAGTTCCAATATTTTGAGCGTCGTCTTTCCCAGGCGAAATTTTCATCGTCAACAAGGAACTAAAATCGATAGCTCTTCGTGCATGTCTGGCCAACACAATGATACGAGCTAGATTTGTGTCAGCTGAAAAGGTATTCACAAAGCGAAGGAGTGTCTGCCTGGTAATTAACCATATTTATGTCCATTGCGACATTTTTCTGCATATTCAGCTCGAAGGTAACGGTATGCTGGCACGCTAGCACTTGCGAAATTTGTACCATTATTATGACAATAATAAAGATAATGTGGAAGATACTACGTCTTGATGGCTTTCCACCTTTTCCTTGCATCAATCGCGACGGAACAATTTACTTTTGTAGATTTGATTTTTCAGTTTTGACAAACTATCTCTTCAGGGGCGAATTCACCATCACACCAAGATGCCGTTTATTCTTGTCTGTTTGCTGTAGCATTTTGCGGCTTTAGTGGATGACTTAAAAGTGGGTCTATCTGGCAAAAATCTTCATTTTGAGGTTTAACAGGAAACGTTCACGCTGCTACACCAACTCAATCTAACTTGGCAGATTGAATCTGAAATTAACAGAGGCGAAAATAGAAGCTTTCAAGCCCTAATTTGCTGTGAGCACGCAACATGGGGCTGGCAAAGTTGAGAAGATTCATTAAAAGCGCTGCAAAGTAGGTCTAGCTTTCAGCTGAGGAAATCAATGGTGCATTTCGGTTTTGTGATTAACCATCAGGGACGCGTTTTATCCGCATTCACTTTGCAGACTTTACCATAATGACAGGCCGTTGGTACTTCAGCTTGTCTTCAATTCTGCCAGGATTTATGATTATTGCATACTTTATTCATGCCAGCTAGTTGAGCATCGCAGCCTGTAATCTGGCAGCATAAAGCTTCCAATTTCACTTCAGCAACAATGTTGCGTTCCAAGCATCTGGACGCCCTGTTTCAGGCCGGAATCGAACGCGGTAGGGTTGGAGGTTTTTCGAAAATATTGCCGCAAAAATTCCATTTTCCAGGCGACATTTTCTGGATGCTGGACATCAGCGTCAGTGCTGTGTCGGGCAATTGCGTGATATTTGCCTATACGCTCGTTATTCTGTTGCAATGTGTCATCGAGGTGACTGGCCAGCTCTATCTGTTAACCACCAAGCCCTCAATTGGGAAAATTTTACTTCTCGCCCCCATGTTTTTCACATCTTTTATGGTAAGGAACTGCAGTTTCAACATAGAATCCACTTCATTTTCTGCAAATGCTTCCCAGATAGCATTTGATATTCTATGAATATCCCAGAATGTTCAA